AAAGAGTTTCCTAAAAAAAGGTCGCGCTTAAATACACATCCGAGGCACCACCACGCATTCACCCTGATTACGTTGGAGTGCGGAATCCCGACCTCGATGAAGAATTCAGCAAAGCCGAGATACGAGCAGTTCTACACAAAGTAAATACTACGTCGACACCGGGCCCTGACGCCATTACAAACAAAACACTGCGGAACATAGACGATACGTCCATTGGCAAATTAACAGACTTTATAATTTATGCTGGAGGCAAGGCCACATACTGCAGTAATGGAAAACGGCGCTCGTTGTGCTTATACCCAAGCCTGACAAACGCTTACAGCTTGAAAACCTAATACCTACATCACTAACTTCCTGCTTGAACAAGCTAATGGAACATGCCTTACTGACCCGATTGACCAACTACCTAAAGTACAACAACTTACTCCCATGTACAATGATAGGATTTCGGAAGAATCTGTACACAAGATGCCATACTATAATTGAAACACCATATTATAGAGTACCCTAGCAGATCAACTTGAGCCATCCTTGTGCTTGATTCAAAAAAGGCATTTGATAATGTCACCCACCAAGCCATACTAAATTATGTCAGTAACAGGCTTAGGTGAGAGGACGTATAATTACATTCGGAACTTCCTAACGAATAGGCAAGCCAAAATCGTTGTAGAAGGCCTCACATTTGAGGAAATATCAATGGATTGTGCAGGGACACCCCAAGGATCGGTGATATCACCTGTGCTATTTAACTTAGTTCTAACTGGCCTCCCAAGTAGATTAGAAAAGATGGAAAGTTTGCACCATACAATATATGCAGATATTACTCTGTGGGTAAGCACCGGAAGCGATTGGTCAATTAAACAACGTTTACAAGAAGCGATCGACACCGTAGAGCAATACCTAGAAGAAACCAGTCTCATGTGCTCAGTCGAAAAATTTGAGCTGTTACTATACAGACCAACATTAAAAGGCTGACCTTCCAAGCACCACAACACACATAACTACACAGACATACAACTTAAAACACGAGGCCCCGCCGCGGTGGTCTAGTGGCTAAGGTACTCGGCTGCTGACTCGCAGGTCGTGGGATCAAATCCCGGCTGTGGTGGCTGCATTTTGGACGGAGGCGGAAATGTTGTAGGCCCAAGTGCTCAGATTTGGGTGCACGTTAAAGAACCCCAGGTGGTCAAAATTTCCGGAGCCCTCAACTATGGCGTCTCTCATAATCATATAGTGGTTTTGGGACGTTAAACCCCGCATGTCAATCAAACTTAAAGCACGAGATGGGCACACCATACCCATTTTAGACCAGATAAGGGTAATGGGCACCAAAGGGGGAAAGGGTTCTCAAAATCGAAGGGAAGGTTTCTCAAACGATGCACCTAATCAAAAGAATTATGAATAAGCTTAGCGGCATGAAAGAGGCAAATGTCATAAGGCTTATCTAGGTTTTTGTCATCAGCCACATTACGTATGTATCTGCATACATTAGATGGTTACCAGCAGAAAAAATGAAATAAACAGCCTCATACGAAAAATTTATAAACAAGTGCTGGGGCTTATGCAAAGCACAAGTACAGAGAAGCTGCTAGAGCTAGGTTTACATAATACACTTGAGGAACTGAGAGAGGCGCAAGATATTGTGCAGTACGAGCACCTTTCTAAAACAAAGACTGGTAGACGCATCCTGGGAAAATTAGGCATCACTTACCACACACAATATGGCACTAAATGCGACATTACTCGTGACGTACGGACTAAGCTCACGGTGCCTCCGTTACCTAAAAACATGCACACTGTGCACAACGCAGGTAGAAGGCGGAGCAGAGCCACGACGATGACAAAGAGCTGTGGAAACGACGAAGAAGCAGTCTTCGTAAATGCCGCTCGTTACACAAAAGCTGCTTCGTCGCGGCAGTAGTTAACCACAAGAAACAATGCTCCACCAGTCTGACAATATACACGAGATGCGTTGAAACGGGGGAAGAGATAGCTATAGCTTTTCCTATATCACAAACTGACACGTGTTATATAATCAGCGATTCACAAGCTGCTGTACGCAACTTGGAAATGGTCAGATTTCCCCGGAAGCACTGCGTATTCTTAAAACAGGCAAAACCAACCAAGACAACAGATGCATTTGCATTCTCTGGTTCCCAGCTCACATACCCGAAACCACAGGAAATATCAACCCTAAAGAGGTGGTATTCGAGGACTTACCGGGCTACGACAAATGTTGATTTCTCGTCAAAATTTCCAAATGTCTGGGAATGGATGGACCGAATGACAACATTCAATGAAATTACCAAACGTTATAAATTACAGAGGCATGTTTACCTCCTCCTTACCATAAACTCAACGGGGTGCAGTCTGTCCAATGGCGACAATGAAATTACGAAACATTATAAATTACAGAGGCATGTTTACGCCCCTCCTTACCATAAAATCAACAGGGCGCAGTCTGTCCGATGGCGACAATTACAAACCAGATCCTATAGCAATCCAGTGCTACTACATGCTATGTATCCAGAGATATATGCGACTTCTCAATGCAAAGATTGTAAGGCACTACAGTTAAACCTCGTTATAACGAAATTGGAGGGCCGCCGCTATTTGCTCGTTATAACCAATATTTCGTTATAGCCGTAGCGGGCATTTACCGCAAATATTATGCACTGTACTTACCCCCAAAAAATAGCGGGCGAAATAGCATCCCGCCGCACGGTGGTATGCAACAAAATAACCGCATTCCCAAATGAAAAGGAAAAAGTCATGCACCTGTTTTAATGCACTTCAAAGTACACAGCTTGCATTTCAGGCAGACTTAGCTGCAAAGAAGTCCGTAATTGGACGTTGATGCATCTTCCTGATGCGAACGATGGCTCTCTCACCTGCGGCCGCAATGTTCAAGCCATCTTCGCCGCCCTCGTGAGCGCCGAAGTAGCGGCGCAGTACGTCCACATTGCCTTTCTTGCCACGTTGCCTTTCTTGGTCCCCGATTCGACGGCTCTTATCATAGCCGCCTTCTGATCTAGCGTTATGCGCTTTCGCTTCCTGCCTGGCGCATTCATGTTGCTGGAATCACGAGCACAGCACGATAAAAGAAAAAACGGAAGCGGTCGAAAAAGAGAAGAAACACGCAAGCAAAAGCAACGCGGCTCACGTCGGCGAGCGACAACACTTGCAGAGAAAGTGACTGTGAAGAGGAAGGGGCGCTCTTTTGCGCTGCCCTCTAGGAACCGGTTACTCAAGGAGAAGGGGGTACGTAAGATTAGGAAGCGCACCTCAGCCCCATGAGAAAGGGGAGAGGAAGAATATAAAGAAGACAGAAAAGAAAAGAAAAGGGCGAGACAATCGCGGGGTGCTCCGCTGTCGGTGGTAGCCAAGCGGCGTACGTGCAGCGAACTCTCCTCCGGAAACAGCGTGTGCCGTCTGCTTTGCGCGCGTTGCTGGAGGGCGCGTGGCGGGAGTTTTGAACTGCTAAATACAGTTCTCGCGTTGCGCGCCATCTCAAATTCGCGTTGTGCACTGTCGTGACGTCGGCTCAAAATTTTACTTCCTAACAAAACTTGTTCGTAATATCCCATAACAGGCAAATTTTGCCTCGTTAAAACGAGGTTTTGAATACATTGGTTTGTATGGGGACTTTCAAGGGGAATTAGGATTTGCTCGTTATATACATTATTTCGTTATAGCCCGTCTCGTTATAACGAGGTTTAACTGTAGCTTCCTTAGAACATATATCATGGGAATGCCAGGGATTAAAACACAGTAATGAGAATGCGGCCTCCACCGACAGCCTCTGCGCTATGGGCAATCCAGCGGGCAGAAGCCCCTGGGAGGCAAGACCTTCTAGCCGACACCTAGGCGGGAGCCCAGCTCACCAGCACTCGGGATACAAAATAAAGTTTTTTCCATCCATCCAACTCGGTGCGGGTTTAGGGATGGGGTTACGGTTCTTGACATTGTGCTTAACGTAAGATGTTTGACACGGTATTACCTTGAGAAATAATGAGCCTCAAGCACGTTACCTGATGTTAGATTCTATGAGCTGCATTTGTTTGCCTGCACTTTTTGCATTTCGTTACAGTTCCACTCGGATCCACAATTATTCGAAGAGAGAAGTCTGTGTGGCGCTTATCAGCATATTATACTAGTGCCCATTGAAATGCTTTGTGCTGTTCTAAAATTCTGTGATAAAATCACACTATGGAGCCTTGTTTTTGGGAATGTTTTATGAACCTTGCTTCCATGTGCTGCCTGTATTCAGGATTGAGTAATTTTACAGCTTTTACATGTTACTTTATTTTCGATTATGAGCAATGTTTGTCTATTTGCTCATGCAGATTTCTTACCGAATTCGGCAATTAAGGCGACAAGCTTTTCTTTTTGGTTATAAAGTGTGAAAGTCCACTTGTTCAATGTAATAATTTCGTTGTGAAGTAATTGCCAATTAATGTGGACACTGCTAGGAAGGATGCATGTCCTTATTATGATAACAGAATAGTTGCGCGAGTTGGTGTATATTCACGATCAATTCACCCGTGAGGTGTCTGAAGCCTATCATATTAACAAGTCACGTGATGCTTGCGTAAGCCAGACCTCGGTTACATTGCACAAAAAAGAGTTCACTTTTATTGATGAGCGTATCGCTTAATCTCGTTGTTCCTCACTTGTCATGTGCGGCTATTACTTTTTAAATTCCTGTTGCTCGGAATAAACTTTCAGTTGTGAGTGCAGCACTGTTTGTGGTTCTCTTCTTTGTCTCTGTCTTTTTGTGCGCCGCTTTTCTTTTAATATCCTTATTATGATTGTTATAGTTAGGACTAACTTTAGTTAGACTAACTAAGTTAGGACTAACTAACAAAAGTTGCATGAAATTTAAAATGTTCTTGCAGAGAAGGCCCAGAGAGATTTTCAGGTTAGTCTTAATAAGTATGCAGAGATCTGGCACTTATCTCAGTGACTTTTCTTACCACACACTTGTTTTTGTCGTGCAGGTGATTGGGGAGCCTAGCCCAAGTTTGCTGAAGAAAATGACTGAAGCCGAGAACCAGAGGATTGAGCATCAGCGAGAAGCTCTTGGTGAGGATGGCCTCCAGAAGCGAGCAGAAGCATTAGAAAAAGCCATCGAGGCTAATGAGGTACGATCTACAAGGGAAATTTTTTGCTTTACTACTGTATCTTCTGGTAGTCTTGGCACCCATAGCACGACCCCTTGTTGAACTGACACCAAAAGTACACCCACAGTGTGTTTGGCTTGTTCTATCTGCATGATCATTTCCTGCCGAAAGTGCCTTGAGGTGTGCCCAACTGTTTTGTCATACCAACTTGGAGATCACGATGAGCTGTGGTCACAGGGTCTCAACTTTCACTACGGATGCCACTGTAGCATAACAGTAGTATTGTAATTACTCGCGTAATCCTTGCACTCTTATAATTCCCGCACCCCCCGCATCACCCAACAAAAATACGATTTCTTTTTTTCCTCGAGTAATTATCGTACCCCCCAAAATTGCCGCAATAATGTCGTCTGCTCATTCCAGCCATTAATGATGATAGCGCGCACCATCTGACGTCATCTCTTAAGCATCAAGCGTGCTATTTTTGACCGGAGATTCAATTCAATCAAAGCCAAGCCAAAGTGGCAAGTGCACATCGCGGCATGTTTTGTATGTTGTGTCGGTAATCTTGTCACGTTATGGGGCGATACTGAAACTACACGACTGCTTTCAAGTTGAAAGTGATTGATCATGCACTAAAGTACTGCAACAGGGCCGCTGGTAGGCCCTTTGGAGTCGACGAGTTCTGTGATTGCTACTGGTGACGGCGGCTGAAAGTCACCAAGACGCGTTGGGCCTGCCATGTGCCTAAGACTGGGATTGATGGTAAACTTAATTTCTTCAGAAGGAAACTGCTGACGATTCTGTTAAGTAGCCATCAGCCCAATACTGACGACCTACGCTTATCGTTTGAGGGCTCTTTTTCAGTGACGACCGCTACCGCTACGCCCGTAATGCCCACAAGCTTTGCGTATGATATTCTGATTCTCGACTATTAGCTTGCACTTCTTGTGCCTCAAATAAATCTCTCCATGTATTGAATCAGCGGTTTTATTGTAAGTTATAATTAGTACTTCTCAAAGCTTGCTGTTAGTTTCTGGTGTGAGAATCCCGATTTGCGGCCAATTTGTTTGTTTTTTTCCGCTCTGTACGTTTTCGTGAAAGGTTTTCTCCGCGTAATTCTCGCACCCGCTAACTTTGCATTGGTGTTCTGCTAAAAAAAGCGCGAGCATTATGCGAGTGAATACGGTATTTCAGTACCCTTGCACCCTGCCTTAATCCACATTAGCCATTGCAACTTGCTATCCATGATGACAGCAAGAAATGAAGAAATAAATGGGAAATTTTAGCCATCATAAGGTCTTATCTCGTGTAAGCATCAGAGCTAGCAACATGTTTTTGCTTTAAAGTTATAGTATATCCACTCTCTATGAAAAAAGGGGTTACGGTAAAAGAGGATGGCAGTAACAATACTGTTACTTACACCTTATGTTTGTTTTGACAACATCGAAAACATTTTTGTGCTATATGAGGGTTCTCATAAATGCAGTATAAAGCAGAAGAGGCCATGTCTTTGAAAACATTGTTGCCGATACATTGCACCAGCGTGTAATACCTGGTTTTGTAACAATCGGCTTTTTGTTACAAATTGGTTTGGTCTTGGCACAACCTCCGTAGAAATAATGCATCAAAAACATTCAATATACGCCCAAATTTTGTACGACTGTGGCACTATCTGAGAAAAATAAATGTTTTTTACTAAACTCTAACGCTGGCCAGAATTAGTGGGTGTAAAATAGAAACTGACAAGCCCATAGGTTCAAGATAAAAAAAAAAAAAGAAAGTATAAGAAGACATGCTCTGTCTTCTTTCAGAATGGAAGATATATTCTTCAGGCAGTTCATAAGCACCTGTGACTCAATTTTCGTGACTTTCAGATCACTTCTCGATGTGCTTCGATAGCAGGCATATTCTTGGGCCCTTACCTAGACAAACTCGATCTATACGCAGTAGCTTCAGGAGGTTGACAAGCTAGTCTTAGAGATCCGGATATTTTCACGTATTTCACCCGTGGAAAATGTTCCTGGTCAACATGCAGCTGAAGATTTCCTCCCTTTTGTTGCATCCCTAGCAGTCACTAGTCTCAAGTGCGCAATAAGGATGTGAAGCAGCTAATTTCAGCATGTAGAATAACTCTATTTTGATGTGATTGTTTGTAATAACAGTGGCACATCACTATGTGCACTTAACAAGGCAACAAATAGAATGTCCACAGCTCGGGCACATGCAAAATTGTTCTACGGGAACTAGCAAAAAAAAAGAAAGTTTCTCGTCATCATTATGTGATGCCGTTGACTCTGTTGGCTGTTCTGATGAAAGGCTGCTGCCAAAACTGTTTCGGTTTTGTTTTTATTCGCAGGAAATTTTCGGACTGTACATATAAAAAGCAATCGCATTGGATGTCTGTTTTTTTTTTTTTGAAGTTGAGGATGAGGATTTCAGTGCTGGGCAACCTGCGACTATTCGCAACTGTGCCATGCTGCTACAAAAGGGTCTTTTCTGTCTAATTTGAGCCATTGCTGTGCCACAAGATCGTTTGGAACCAGAAGTAATGTTGACAGCGCGCATCTTGAGCAGATATTATGTAATGGTTGCCATCTTGTACAAGTGCACTGCTGCATTTGTGTAGAGTAGTGCTGCTTCAAAAGCACGAAACTGGCCGATCAAATACAGTCAAACCCTTTTATAAGAGCCATGCTTCAGGCAGCAGTTAGTCGAATATGGATATATCGAAACTCAAAGGGGATTGCGAATTAGTTTGATATATGAAAAATTTGATATAAACTAGAGGCCCTGAGAGCTTACCTGTAACTGTCATCACCTACAATAGGTGCATTCATGAATGACAATTTATTCCGCACATACGCTGCAATAGAATGATTTATTTGGGTGAAAAAAAATGGCTAATTTTGGCCTGCTTTGTCGCTTTTGAAATGCTGCAGACGCTAGTCTCGATCTTATCAATGCTGTCCAGGTGCAACAGCCCAGTTTTCTCCATGTGGCCACTACAACGGCAAATGATCCCGAACGCTGCCGCCACTTCAGCGGCAAAGTACGCGCATGTAGCCAGCGCCTCATCCGGGTGATCCTGCTCGGCACATCAGCTGTCGGCCTGGACATTGCAGTCCGCTTCCACGAAGTTGTCTGCCGGCACTTCGTGTGGAACTGCTTCCGAGAATTGGAATGGCTACTCGCGGAATGCGTCGTCTATGCGCTTGTCATCATCGTCTTTACCGGTTTCCGCAAGTTCCGCCGTCTTGAAGCCTGCCTTGCGGAAGCAGTTGACCACTGTGTTCTTTTTCACATCTCGCCAGGCATTCAAGATCTCTGCAGGGGAAAACTTTGCGGAGATTTCTGGCCTCTCTTTTGTCATCCTGGCTGCTGACAGCTTCGCTTTTACCAGAATTGGTATTGTCAATGATGTTGTAGTGCTGCTTAAATCGGTGAAGCCACCCCCTGTTGTCGGCGAAGCTGTTTCACTGAGTGCAGTGGCAAACCGTTTGGCCTTGGTGATCAGCATCGGGCCATCCACCACACTTCTAAAAACCAGGCATAAAGTGCCTTTTCTGCATTCTTGGGGGGGAGAAGCGTGCACATGTGATGCTCCCAATGCTCGCTGCTCCACTGCTTTTACCTTGATTATCTGCCTTATTTTTCAACAATGTAGTCGGAGTGCTCCGTGGCATCCAAAAATCATCTGCGATTGTGGAACATTTCTTGCCCAGCTCAACACGCTGAATAGCCTTCAATATATCGCAAAGTCAACGGTCTTGTGCTTCTTGACGCTGGCCACAGCTAGATGAGATGTCGACAATTTAAAGAGTCTGCAGTGGCTTTGCACACTACACACGCAAAAGAGAAATGGTGCATATGCGGTGCTACGTAGGCGAAGCGACAGCCAATCCCATGTTAGCTTTAAAGATCGCGTATTAGCGTTGATGCTGTGTCCAACATGCTACTGAGCTGAGAAAGTGTTTGATTTTGATTTCTGCCTACGAGTTGGAGCCAGAACATTTAGAATTGGTGATGTGTCTTTAGTGTGGATTGTTTTGAAATGAGAGCGCACTACTTAGATGCGAACAGAAAGATAGGGACAAGCGCTTACTACCAACTAAGTTTATTCGGAAAATTATGAAATATATACTGACAGATGAAACAGTGTCATGGCACACACGATAAGACCCAATCACGGACCAAAATAACAAAACCGATAAATATCTATGTACGTCAACCCCACCTTACCAACGCCTACTGTGCCTCAGAGTGATTACTTAACTCAGTATAAACTTCATAGTTTTCCGAATAAACTTTCAGTTGGTAGTAAGCGCTTGTCCCTGTCTTTCTGTCCGAGTCTAAGAAGTGCGCTCTCATTTCAAAACAATCATGCATCACTACCTTGCCCAATCAACAATATTGTAGTTTGGAATGTGGGTACTCTTAAGCGGGAACAGGTGTCTTAGAAGGCCAAAAATTGCAAAAAATAGACTTTTTGAAGCTGACATTTACGGAATCTGCACCTATTTTTGAACTTATCTGAGAGGTTTCTAGCCTCTCGCGTCATTATTTCTGGTGCAAAATCAATTTACAACATCCCTGTGAGATGAATGTGAGCGCAGATTGACGCTAAAACCGCACTTTTTCCGCGCCAAACTGTTGCCGTTACACACGAGCTATCGTGTTCATCTTGGTCTCGTTTGGAAGAGTCGTTCTTCATCTTCAATTTCCCGCCACTGCTGGCTCACCTTGCTCATTGGTTTTTTAGCAAAAACTCGTCATCGAGAGCCACTAGCGCGCGATTCAATTGGCTGCTTGGGGCTTGTGACCAAATTTAGGCATCCGATTGGCCAAGGGGCGCTTTCAGCATCTGCTTCACCATCGTGACGCGCACGGACATGCGCCATTTTGTCATGGTGCTACTGACTGCTTGCGGCAGTAAAGAAGTTCCGTGCTACAGTAATTTGTGAAGCGGGTATGGCGGTCGTTCGTTCAAACCCAAAACACGCTACCTCTCCAGTGAGAGC